GGGACGGACGGACGGACGGACGGACGGAGGGAGGGAGGGGGGGAGCGGGGGGGCGGCCGCCGCTGCTTGGGCGGGTTTAAACCGAAACGGCGCGGCCGGCCCGCGGACCCCGGGTCTCGCCCGGCGGTGCCCCCCGGGAAAAGGGCGCCGGCAGAAATCGCGATTTTCATTAATTCTGCCGTGAAAACTTAGCGATTTTTGGGGGGAAGCTGATTGCTCTACGTGTTGACAATGCACCTCGCAAAACATTCACAACCCGGTGTAAGAGAGGAGAGCCCTGGGGGGCCGCCGGCCAGCCCGCTCCCCTCGCCTCACCAGAGAAAGGAGAGCGTGCCCGGGGGAGACACAAGACAGGATGTGAAGGCCTCACCCATTTCCCTTTTGGTCAGCCCTCCGTTATCAGCCAGCACATTTTGCAAAACAAATAAAATTCTTTTTCCTATCAGCTATTTACTTTTAAATGCCACGCAGAAAGTTCAGTGAAAAGGTGCCTCCTTCCCAACCGAACAACAAAGCCAGAACCGATTTAGGAGGGGTTTGGTTTTGCTACTTAGTAGGAAATTGAAATTTCCTAGTTAAGTCAGGTTTTAATATGCTTGAGGTTTGTGTTTTTCGGATAATTTTAGCCACTATTAAACTACAACCCGATATGCACAGGAACCCAGTTAATTCTGAAACTAGCTGAGAAACCCGAACTGTTACACAACCTCAGGTAAAGCATAAAACATTCACACTGCTGTTTCCCCTGTCTTCCAACTGGCCAGAAAGCTTGTATCGCAGAGAAGCACTGTGACAGTAACATGAAAATACAAGGCACTGTGCAGAAAACGGTAAAATACACATCTGCATTTAAATATAAATTATTTGCAAAAATTAAAGTGATGAACTCTATTTGGGACACTTAAAGTTTAATTTAGGTCTACAATGAAATGTGTGTTTCATAACAAGAAAGAGCAAAAAACCCCTCAGAATTTCATTGGTTCTCAATGTACATTTCAAAGCTATGTATATAATTTTTAGCCCAGAGAGGACACAGTGCCATCTCCTGGAACTAATAACATAACTTTTCCATCCCGTTGCAACAATGACACGGTATTTCACATACCCTGCCTTTCCAGTGAAGTGCAAACACCTACACAAAGAAATGGAAAATCTGGGAGCTCTGTTAACAGTCTGGATTTTCAACTGAAGTATGAACAAGGTGGTTAATGAGACTTCTATCTCAAATCTGACAACAGCCATTTATAAATATCAAAACTGTAGCTATAATTCATAATGTTGGTGGTACACGTTCCTGAAGCTTCTATGCAAAATAGGCAAAACAAGGCAATACCTGTGATATTACCTATAGATGAGAAAGAATCCAAATTCAGATTAAAAAAAATCTACTTCAATCGTGACTTGCTAGTGGTTTCATTCTTTGGGAACAATCTCTCTGTCGATTTCTGCTGAAAAGCAGTGTCAAAACTTCTTGATGCTTCCCAATTACAGGCAAAGGCAAAACCAGAAATAAACTAGTTTATCCCCTGTTACACCATCAACATAAACCAAACCATATAGCTCTGTTTAAAATAACAAAGCATGCAGATCTGTGGCAAGTAATGTGTCAAATTCAGAAGCTATTTAAAATGGAAACCAAAATTTCTTCCCATACCTACAGCAAAACATTCTTAACTCACCCCATACTTATTGCCACAGGCACAGCTCAGTCTTGTACTGTCTGTATGTGCACACGGGGGGGAAAAAGTGACTTTAACAATATTCTTGACAAGTCTCTGCTATGACCACTGTCCACTGTCCCAGGACACTCTACAAAGTGTGCTCACCAAATGCTGTCTAGGGGACATGCTGAGAGAGAAAACTTCTAGCTCCAGATAGCCAGGAAGTTTCTGCCAAGTATGGCTGACTTAATTTTGGTTCTTTTCTGTGAATTGTCAGAAACTATTACCTCTGCAGTATGCTCTCTACGATCAGTTGTAAAAATAAGATGTCTTTCACTCATCTTTCGTTTTTGATCTGGGGGGGAAGAAACCCATATGTTAAGTCATGCTGAACATTAAGTCCAGATGGACTTGTGGCAGCAAAATATTGCTTCAGAATAAGAGACAGTAAAAGTCTTCAGGTATTTATTACTAAAGACATTTGAATAAGAATTTAGGGTTATTTTAGCCATTCAGGAAGTCTACATTGGAGGCAAAAGCTGCCTCCTTGTCTCCCAGCATAACCATGCAGGTAAAGGTAGGTAACAGTTACAATATGCATTAATTTTCTTCCTCTTTCACTCAATGTCTGAATAAAAATTATTGTGTATGGGAATATGCTCAATTAGATTAGTATCTGACTTTTAACTTCCCTGAAATTCATCACTCCCTATCCATTGACTGTAAAATTATACTAATATAACAATCTAAAAGAATGGGATTTTAAATTAAAAATAAATATTGAATCAATTCAATTTTTAATTATTTTTTTTAAAAAATAGTGAAAGCTGTTAAAATTTGTAAATGGTTAGAGTTAGAACAACTCAGTAATACTTGCATGTATTTCCAATACCTAGGTCAATTAATAACTAAAAAATGATTAAGGTTAATGGATAAATCCTGTTACTGGACTTTTAAAATCAAGTTTGAGTTCAAACAGAAAGTGTCTCAAAGTCCATGGTCTGTTCTGTGCTAACTGGAAAGCACGTTTTGGACACAACTGCAACATACAGCATTATAGCTTTGAATACACTTCATTTAATTACCCGGATTTTATACCAGTGTAGCAACGCAGTCTTAATCTCTAAATAAAAAATTCAGAACAGTAACATCAAACGCCTCTTTGACACATCGTTATGTATGCAGTATAGTCATAAAGGAACAGAACACAAAACGTAGTTTCATAGCAACTCATTTTTTCAGGAGTCTTAAATAACATCCAAAGCTAGAGGGCATTCACTGATCATTCTTTCCAAGTTGTATACTTGCAAACATGAGTGAGTTTCTCCGAATTTCTCCAGTGAATGAAACTTCTGTAGTGTATGAAATCCTGCTTTGGAATGATGGCAATCTACAACCGCAAGTGTTGCACCATCATCTCACAACTTATCAAACACACTGATGGTGCAACACTCTAATATCAGGATCCTTATGCTCTTAAAAACCGTTGTGTGTCCTACCTTTTCCCCACCTCTCCAGCAATGCAAGATGATTAAATAACTTGAAGCTGGAACGTGAGATACGTGAAAATCACCACAGTGAAGCCACCAGCTCCCGCACCCGAGTCCTCCACTGCAGCCACGCGTGGTGCAGCCTGCCACATCGGCACGGCACAGTTCTCTCAAAACGGGGGTAAACAGCATAAATCCTCCCGACTCACCACCCCCCACCCTGTGGCCACATCAAGGTCTCGAACTCTGCTACGAGCAACACCGTGGCTGTGACAACTGTGCGGAAAACCCGTGTCCCTGCTGAGGGAGGAGGGCACGGGGCAACCCAAGGGCCGTGACTGCACCCCGCGAGGAACCACCATCCCGCCTGTGGCGCCACGCTCCCCCGTGCTGGGGTCCCCCTCAGGCCGGGGCTGGGCGGCGGGAGCGGCCCC